TGTAATCGGCCTTTGCAGTTGGCATTAACTGACCCTCCTGTCAGCTTTTTCAGTGCAGTGTCTGGTAGCAGTATGAATATAAAGATGAAATGCGTTCTTGCCTACGTGGGAGCTCTCATCACAGGTTTAGGGCACAGTTTACTGAACAGGCAAAATCGAGGGGCGATATTCCTTTGCCGTTTTAGAAACCCAAAACAGAACTGCGATCTGCATCAGTTGTCTCCATTTGCCTTAGAAGCTTAAGGACTTGGAAAAGAAAACATTTATGGAAATGTGAAGTGCATGTTGAGTCAGTAAATAAATTCCTGATCATCTCTAGCTTGCTTTTTTTTTTTTTTTTAGATAAGCGTATAGATATGTTATTTGCACAAGAACACATAAAACTATTTAACACTAGTTAACAAAGCTCCTTGCATTCCTGTGGGTTTTAAATGATTTTTGGTTTCCTTTGTTTTTGTAAAATATTTGGTTCTCAACAATTCTAAGATAGTGTTATTTTGGTTATTTTTCTCCCAAATTTTGTAATGTTCTGTATGTTGTAGTAACAACTACCCTGATGTTATCAAGAACACGTTTCTTTTAAACATCTTTCATTGCAGTGGTCAAAAACTTGACTTTTTCTGTGGTCTTAATTTCTAAACTTTGATGGCATGAAGAGTATGTGGCATTGTAAATTAAATCCTTGAGCTGTATCTTAAGAGTAACTGTCTTTTTATCTAAGTAAAAGTTGCTTACACAGTCCTTTTCGAAGAGGTACAATTTGTGCACATAGGTGTATGCACAAGTGATAGTCATGTTTTTTGAAAAAATTATAAATGTATACAAATATGCATGTATTTTCAATTATTATATTCCATTGGATGAGAATAGTTCTCAATTGGGCTATGTATGAGCTGTTCATAAAAACAGAAATGGGATTTTTAAACAATTTTTTAATTTAAGAAGGAAACCCATATAGATGTAGATTGTACATATTAACAATGTCCTTGTTTTGCTCGTTATGTGAAATGGATTCTTCTGTCTGGAAAGGGGTGATATCTTTCCTATACTTTGCATTTGACTACAGCTAGGGATATTTTTCTAGTGGAAAAGATGATTTTGCTTGCAAAAAATCATCTTCGTTGTTCTCAGTACAATGTAGAATGACCAGCATTTTTTAAAAAGTCTTATGCTGTGACTTTCCTGGTAGAACAATGTAAGAAGATGGATTGCTCTTTCTTTTTTGAGGACTGTAAGGAGGAATGAATTTCCCATGTGTTTACAATACTGTCAAAGCATTAAATCACTATTGATTTGAAAGAACAGAGGTTAATCTTAAATATCTGTAAAATATGCTGCAAGGTATTACGTTTCAAGGTAAAGTTTATTCTATTTTTTTTTTCTGAATAGGCTGAGACTATTTTCCAAGAAATGTTTCCTACAGAGGAATTTTGCCCACCACCGCCGAATCCAGAAGATATTATTTATGATGAAGATGAGATTGCACCAGAAGATTCTGGATTTAGTAATTCACCAGAGACAAAACCTGAATCCCCAACTGAGGAAAGCAGTAGCGGAGGTAGTACTGCTGTTAAGAAGGAAGATAACGAAGAATGAATTAGCATTGTTCTCTTAGTAGAAGAGGAGGTTGACACAACCTAAAATGTAAGGGAGGAAGGGTAAGAAAAAGAGGTTTAAAAAGCCCTTAGCTGTATTATTTGCAATTGCCTTACTTTCCTTAGCTTGGATAATCTTTCTTTGTCAAGTAGTTTCATTGATAGCTGAGACATTTCTAAATAGTCATAGGTCCACCAGATCCAGGGGTGTTTGTAGCTAATTAAAAAAAAGTAGAACAAAGAACTTAATTTAAAATGCTAAAATAGGATTCACTATTTGTGGAGATAATTCGGTTTTGGTTTACGTTTTGGAAAGCATCCTCCATCTTTTAAACAGGCAAGGAGTCGAAACTAATGAAAAGAAAAAATGTGCAAGTTTGCTTAGCAGTCAGAAGATGATCTTCTGACATCAAAGTTCTAAAAATCATTGGATCTGTGCTAATTAAACAGTTGAAGGCGAGCTTCACAATTTGTCCTTCAAAGTGATTCTGTGAATGGAACTTAAAGGCAGTAATATTGATAGTTCTGGAGTGGCTTTAGAACTTGTAGTACATGTTGTGTTTAATTTGTATAGTGAAAAATTTCTTGTATGGTTTTGAAACTGATGCCATAATTTAGAAACAAATATAATCTGATAGGTGTTCCTCACGTGAAACCATTTTACATTCAATTTTTTTTTTTTTTAATAAGATCTAATAGAGCACACATTTTCACTAGTGACTTCATTTGCCATAGTTGGGAAAATAGCACAAGCTAGTTAACGCTAGATTTCCCCACAAAATTTAAAATCATAAATGGAGCATACCTTTGTTAGTTTCCCCAGATTTGTTGCAGTGTTTGTCCCTTTATTAAGCCAGTAGTTAATTTTTGATGTATGGTGTCTGAGAAGTTTAGGTGATCGTTAGTCAAGGTTTTTTGTGATGGGGTGAGGGGTCAACTGATAATTCCAAAGGTTTGTATTGATCCCAGTTAATAGGATTAAAATTAATCTGATAGCTGTAAATTATGCATTTTATAATGATAAATCGTAAAGCATTTATACAATAAAATTTCTTGAAGTATTTATAAACCTAGTTTGTATGAAAAATAACAAAATTAGAAAGCTGTTGTAAATTACCATAATAAACTTGCACTACTTCTGAACAATGCTTGAAGTTAGATATTCAGATCATGAATGAAAAATATTTAGCATTTATTTAAAGGTTTACCTTAAAATGTACACCAAATAGATCCGTCATATATCTAAATATGGAGATTAGTGAATTTTGATGAGTCAGGGTTTAAACTTCTACGTAACTGAGATACAGTCCTAGCAGTGCTTAAGTACTTACGTAAATAAAAAATGCCATTGAAATATGAATATCCAGCACTGCCTGTACTTGACACGTCCAGGCTTTTGTACAGTTTTGGAGTGCACGTGCCTGCCTTTAAAATGGCTTCATGCCATAAAGGTTAATTTATTTATTTTTTTACAGCATAACTGATACGGTTAACTTCACTTTGTCTTGTGTTATAATACATTGTCCAATTTGCATTTCGAAAACTGGTTTGTTAGTGTTTACATTCTTTGTTTATTGTATAGGTACCATTGGTGTGTATAATCCCAAAGTCCTCAGAAAAATATGTGGTTGAAATGTTTCCAATGTTAAATAACAGTTATCTTTGGATGCTTGTGACTGAGCAGTTATTTATATATAGTAATAAGCAGACTGCCTCTTCATTTAGCTGTAATTTTTATGTGTATTGGAAAGCATGAGTGTATGGTAATGGTATTTAACATCTACAGCTCTGTAAAAGAACTAAGTGGAGGACCTAGTCTCTGTTTGTCTTTCAATAGTAGGGATTATAGTGGAATTTTTCATCTTCTGTGTTTACAAGGAAATCGTTTGATGAAAATTAAAGGTTTGCTTGCAAGTGCATTTTTCTGTGTTTTCTTTCAGTTACACGGGAAAAGCAGTTCATTCGTTAGCTGAGGTTTCCTGATAATTGTTGTCTGCTTTCATCATGGTGACATCTATAATAAGATTGAAGTTTACGTGTGTGACACTATGTTTGTACGAGTTAGCATGTTTATATAAAGTAGTATCTTAGGGCTTCATGTCCATGTGAAGCAAAGTCTGGAAACATTGCAAATTTGATTTTAGATAAGACTGAATAATCTACAAGTTGTAGGTGAAGACTTTGCACTACATTGATTGCTTAAAAACTGTTTTCGTGTCTCGTTCGCATGGTGAGTGGAAACATAAAATGTTTTTCCTATGGTACTTGAGTACCCAATAGCTCGCTTGCAATAGCAGTAGATAAGACTGTTGATCTTTGTATTTTACAGAAATCATACACTGAACTGCATTTTGTTCTTGCTTTAAATGATTTAAGCATACAAAGTGAGGGTTAGGCTTATTTGAAGTAGTTTTTAAGGCTTGTCATACAGGATGTATTCAAAAGATAACATGACTTTTTAAAAACTGGCAATTTATCTGTGGGATTATTAATAAATCAAGTTAAAGAAAGATAAGGTTAATTGAATTTTTAAACAAGTAGCTGTATTATCCTTCAAGCACCTTGGAGCTCATACAATATTCACACCTTTTTTTTTTCTAAGGAGTGCTTTGATATGTTTGAATTCCTTTTTTAATGAGTACTTTCTTTTTAAGCTGGTTAATTGGATTAACCCTTAATATTCAAACAGTCAATTTTATGCCATTTTCCCTTCTGCTATTGTATTGCCTTATCTGTATTACTGCAATTAGTTACTGTTCCTTTGGAAGTATTTTCAGCCATGAAGCTGCTACGTCTGCTTTTTCTGGTGATGATGATGATGCTTAGGGCCATTTGACAGGTAATCATTAGAACTTAGATCCTTGCAGACTATGGGGTCTTTTCTCCTATCATTGCAGGGGGATTTATGTAGGTAACTCTTATTAATGTTAATGGGGCTTGCATGTGTAAATCCTCCTTGCATCAATGGGAAAATTGACCCCTGAAAAAAAATACCTTCATGTTAGACTTGCTGATTCAGAAACATCCAGGCAGTCAGCTCGTGTGTGGAAATGTGGTGGAGCACGTGCTGTGTCCGTTTCACTGAAATGCTCTGAAGAGACTTGTGGAGTTTTCAGGGGTTTTATCTTTTATATTTTATTTTATATTTTCCATACACTTCTAAATCTTGTCAGAGATCCACTAACAATTCTCTTTATGTAGCTAGTATCAATTTCACTTTCTGTACTCAGGAGGTTGTGTGGCTCCTTTTGCTTTGAATCTCTTTATGGTTTAGGCCCCTCTCCCCCCTTCAAATCTTTTCACGTCAGCAATGTGAGTTGCAACATTTTAATTTCAAGAACAATTTGTTAGTGATGTATTGATTAATGGTAAAACAAGTATTAAAAGTCTGTTTTTACACAATAAGAGGCATGGTCACTTACAATCCATAGTATCGTCTGTTGAAAGGATAAAATTCATTTCCTCAGCACTTCTCCAGGCTGGGAAAACATGTGCACTACCCACTTTCCTTGCGTGGTAGAAAGAAGAGAGACAGACAAGCAAATGGAAATAGCTAAAGCAGGATTGTTGCGGTGGGAAGGGGAGGATAAAATGGGGACTGTTTGTCATAACCTTCATGCCCTTAGATCAGCTGAGCCTTGTGCTTCTATTTCCCCTTTTGCTATGTGAGATTTATAAACGATTTCTAACAGTTTATGGATACTTGGGGAAAAAATATAGATGTGCTTTTTGGAATGAGGCAACAATTAACCAAGAACGGAATAACATATAAATGGAATAATACCTGGCACAGACACTGAGGACTTTGCAGTACAAATAAGGGTATTATTTTTTGTTTATCTGTGGATATGTTTATCCATTCTTATTTATTTTGTTGCTCAGTCAGTTACTACTGTGGAACTTTTATATAACCCTCTGCAGTACATTTTAGGTTTTTACTTATCTGACAATTTTGTATCAGTAGCAACTCATTCCTTTAAAAAGTAAACCTTCTGGTGTTGGAACTACCCTAAACAGCTCCAGAGATCTCTCCTGGATTTTCTGCCATAATGAATGTTCTCTTCACCCATTATTTATCAGTAAGCTCTGCAGATTCTGGTGGGTTGACTGCTGTTGATGCCCTTTTTTATTTTTCCATAGGATTCTATCATCACAATGCAGTTGCTAATTTTCCAGTTAAGGGAGCAAGTTACTGAGATCATGTCTTGAAACATAATTGATTTGCGACTGTGTAAACAATTTTTCAGAGTTTGCAGTTTGGGTTTTTTTTCCAAATAATATTAATTGCTTTTGTGTCTGTATATCTCTTACGACAAAATTATTAACTTGTAAAAGTTTATAATTTAGACTTTTGCAGAAATCAACCACTATAGAATGTCCAAAATTTAGAATTACCTGATGTTACCAAAAGTGTCAAAAACATGTGGGAGAGTTGTGGTGGCAGGGTAGTTGCTTGCATTCCGTGGATAAGTAGTAATGCGAAGTACCTTCGGCAAGGTGTGGAAGTAGTTGTGACGCTGCAAGTTTGAGACAAAATGTTGATTTATTGTAACCCAGTTGAATAGTAAGATTGCTTCAGTAATCAAATGGAAATCTTACGTTAGGTGTATATGATTTCAAGAATGACTTCTTTAATGTTATACAAAGTTACCATAGAAGGATACTTTCAGCTGTGTAGGTAAGTAGTAGGAATAGTCAGCCATGTGGAATTCATGTCGTCAGCTTCATATCTAGCAAAAAAAAAAAACTTTTGGTGGAAATCAAGCTTATTAGCAATTCCACCGTTATGTTTATTTACAGGTTGCCAGTTCCTGTTTGTAAGAATGAATGGTTCTTCAAAATCTGGATGGGGAGCCAGGCAGGAATGTGGTAAATCTCAGTGACGTTTGTGATTTAGAAAGTTGACAGTGAAGTTTCAGGAAGAGGCAGTTGTTGACTGGATGGGAGTTCTGGTCAGAGGAGACTTTAATAGAAAATACTCTTCCTGTCACAATTCTAACAGACAATGTATTTTACACTACTTGCATACATTGACAAAAAAGATGGAATGTATCAACCTGAGTGTATATCAAGACCCGGATGTA